AATGAGAATATAAACAAAATAAAACAAATTTAATTAAAATCAGGCGACGGATTATTGAGTTATCACCTATTTTCTGCCGATGCACGACGTCGCTTTTTACAGGTTCCGATTACCTTCTTTTTATAATTCACATCACTCCACTGAAGGAATGTTCGTGTAACATTTTTTACTTATTCTGTACGAAATGGATTAGACTGAACGGCTGTACTACCTGGCGTAAAAAATTTCAATATTACAAAATTCATAAAAGTTAAGAACGGAAAAAAAATGATAGCAGCACCCGGTATTCCCAGGTCGTCTCCGTCCCAAGTACTGACCGGGCCCGACGCCGTTTCACTTCGGTGATCGGACGAGAACCGGTATTTTCAGCGTGGTATGGCCGCTATCGAAAGATTATTTCTCTTATTCTCTCTTTTATACACACTTATATACTACTTTTATCGAAATTGCATTTTGGATTGCAATTTGAAAAGTTGTAGATCTATAAATTGTCACTGTCTCCCGTCTGTCTGTCTGTATGTGTGTCCTTTCTTAATCTCGCGAACGGAGTCAGGTAGATGACCGACGTGACTATATTGCTAATAAGAAAAATATGATGTAAAGGGGCAAAACACTTCTAATTTAATGTAAAGAGCATATATTTTAAATTAATTAAATTAACATGATTAAAAATTGCAGTATGGCATTGTGATTATTTCTTTGTTTCTCTCACTCCAAATTCGCCCACTGCTTTTTGGCATGACATCAAACACGGTGACACAAGTGCATGTACAGTACTTTATACTTAACTAATAACTAATGAATTCGCAATTCTCTGTAAGTTATATGAAATATAATTGCGAGTGATACCAGCACGTTTGATGACAGTATAAAAGAGAAAACAAGAGAAGTAATCTTTCGATAGCGGCCATACCACGCTACTTGGATAACTGTGGTAATTCTAGAGCTAATACATGCATCAGAGCTCCGACCTTCGGGGACGNTTATTCTCTCTTTTATACACACTTATATACTACTTTTATCGAAATTGCATTTTGGATTGCAATTTGAAAAGTTGTAGATCTATAAATTGCCACTGTCATCAAACGTGCTGATATCACCCGCAATTATATTTCATATAACTTACAGAGAATTGCGAATGCATTAGTTATTAGTTAAGTATAAAGTACTGTACATGCACTTGTGTCACCGTGTTTGATGTCATGCCAAAAAGCAGAAGTGTCTTGCCCCTTTACATCATACTTTTCCTATTAGCAATATAGTCACGTCGGTCATCTACCTGACTCCGTTCTCGAGATTAAGAAAGGACACACATACAGACAGACAGACAGGAGACAGTGGCAATTTATAGATCTACAACTTTTCAAATTGCAATCCAAAATGCAATTTCGATAAAAGTAGTATATAAGTGTGTATAAAAGAGAGAATAAGAGAAATAATCTTTCGATAGCGGCCATACCACGCTGAAAATACCGGTTCTCGTCCGATCACCGAAGTGAAACGGCGTCGGGCCCGGTCAGTACTTGGGACGGAGACGACCTGGGAATACCGGGTGCTGCTATCATTTTTTTCCTTCTTAACATTTATGAATTTTGTAATATTAAAATTTTTTACACCAGGTAGTACAGCCGTTCAGTCTAATCCATTGCGTACAGAATAAATAAAAAATGTTTTACACGAACATTCCTTCAGTGGAGGGATGTGAATTATAAAAAGAAGGTAATCGGAACCTGTAAAAAGCGACGTCGTGCATCGGCAGAAAATAGGTGATAACTCGATAATCCGTCGCCTGATTTTAACGAAACTTGTTTTAAGCAAAGAAAAAAAAACGAAAATATTCAAATGAGGCGTTTTTCAGTATGAATAACATCTACGAAGAATTACTTGGCAGTGAACTGTTTATTATTATCAGTACAGGTTGCTAATTGTTTTGTCATAGAGAAATTATATATGTTTATATTAATTGTTTTTTAAAGTAATAAACGAATAAAACTAAAAGTAATTCAAATAAATTGGCACTAATGACAGTTCTCCCCTAAAAAACGATTTCTGTTAAGAAGTGAAGTTTGGCAGGTTTCTGGGCATCTATCTCACTTAGTGATCTTGATCGTTGGAGGTGAAAATGTTACTTTCTGAAGAATGTCAAATGAATTTTCTCCCGTTTAAATCGTTCTTTCCTCTTTACTGTCTGCTAAGTGTGAGTATCATATAATGCAGGCGGATATTCTCTCCATCTGTCTGTTCGCCTAAGTATGTAACTATTCTTATCGTTTAGTTACCCTTTTAAGGTTACGTTGCTAGTTATGCTGACAATTCATGTGTATTTTGCACTATAAAATAGTCAGTCAACTTTACAAAAACATATTTGTAAGTAGTGTATACCAAGTTTGGAATTTCACTAAATTGTATAACTACTAGCAGGTGGGCCCGGCGTTGCTCGGGCAAAAGTAACGATAACTAAGATAAAAATTATTATGTTACAGTCAACCTTACCCGTTTTCACAGAATGCAAGAATTGGATCCCCTTGTTTCCAGACTAATTAGAGAATTTTTAGATGGGTCTAAAAATATGTTCGATTTCCCGCAAAAACGAAAAAAACTGTATCTGGGTCCTTCATGTCGCTTTCTCTTAACAATTCCATTGTTACGTAACATTTCCATTGTTGACACTTCCATTGTTACTTAAAACTTTTATTGTTACTTAAAACTTCCATTGTTACTTAACACTTCCATTGTTACTTAGCACTTCCATTGTTACTTAACACTTCCATTGTTGATGGAAGTGTTAAGCCTTAATCCTGTCCCTCTCCCCCGTGGGGAGGAATTTCGAAAAATCCCTTCTTAGTGTGCGTTCTCCTAACGTACCCTAACTGTGTACCAAATTTCAACTTTCAACTCCTAACCGTTTGGGCTCTGCGCTTATTATTATTATTATTATTATTATTATCAACCCGTCTCGATTATATATTAGATTGTACAATTATTTTTACTACAATGTATAAAGCGAGGTGATTGAATATATTTTAATTTAACCTCGAACGGATCACCGGTGTTCTCCGCGCACTTAATGTTCTATTAATTAATTAACTCGTCTGCCCTGTTTTTCTGTAATCCGAGTACGGGCTGCCGTGTAATTTCTTTTTCAAGATATTCTTCTAAGTTGTACAAAGAGAATTGCAAAAATTTACTAACGGTCTACATTTTCTCCCGGGTTTATCAGTTTTGAATCTAATTTTTAAAATAGGCGTTGGGCTCTTTGATGGATCCAATATAAATCGTTTCGCATCTATCATTTTTCTTTATGGATTTTTATTTCTTTATTTATATTTGTTATTATTCCAATTGTAGAATCTTCTTTTAGTTCTATAAAATCTTTATTTTTGACCAATTCCAAGCGCTTTCTTCTTTCCCATTCGTTAGCAACTGAAGGGGTCTAATATACGTCAGGTCTTCGTCAGATCCGGAAAAGATCCAGGCTGCATTTAGACTTCCCATCCATCACCCACGGCAATTTGGAGAATAATTTTCTGCGAAAAATGGAAATTTTAATTTAAAAAAAAATAAAAAAAATAGACAAGAAGTGTTTTAAGAGACCAGATTTATCTTAAATTTACAAACAAAATATCGGCGATAAGTGAATTTTTTATGATATTTGAATAAACTAAGAACTACAGATATATTTAATTATGCAATTATTATTATTTATTATATTAAGCGCTTTAATATGTTTATTTATTTGTACAACATTCTTAGCTTTCGCTGTGAAATTCTAGATATATAAAACACAAGTACGGAGTAGGGCATAATGGAGTGCCATATTTACGAGGTACATTTAAAAAAAAATACGGTACAGGAATATGGAAATAACTTTTTATTTATTCAAAGTACATGTAATAAGGTTTTTTGCGGTTAAGTTTTAAAAATGATGTACATTCGCTGGCCTTTACGGGTGATATACATTTGGAGCCGCTCCTTGACGTTCTCTTCAACTCTCACCAGCATCTATCTGGCGATTTCCTCGTGAATGGTCTCCTTGAGTTCTTGTAGTGTTCGAGGGCGATGTTTAAAAACCTCAGTATCGGTTGGAAGTCACAGTAACAGTGATACCATCGTCTTCAATAAAAGGCTCTACGATACCTATACAGGTCAAAGTACACCAAACGCTGACTTTCGGACTGTGAACAGGTCGTTGTGGAGTTCTCGGGGGTTTCTAGCAGCCCAATAACGAAAATTCTGCTCGTTCACTGTGTCAGACAGATGAAAATGTGCTTCGTCACTACTTCGCTAGAAGACACAGTTGTAAAGATTTAACATCATTTTTAAAACCTAACCAAAAAAAACCTTATTATATGTACTATGAATAAATTAAAAGATTTTTCCATATTATTGTACCGCTCTGTTTTAAATTTACCTCGTAAATATGGGACTCCCCCACCCTGTACTATTTAATAATTCATCATGGTCGATTAAAGAAGTAAAATAATAATATATATAACTTACAGATAATGTTAATATAATATATGTAAAGAGTATGTATATTAATGTATGTAATATATTTAAATGTATGTCGTCAAGAAAAGGTGTCATCATATTCTATCTTTTGCTGTGAATGAGAATTATCTATGAACGATTTCAAGTTATATTTTTAGGTATTTACTACACTTTACATTACAATTCCAGTTTTGTAGCAGTTGGTTTGAGTCTTGTGTCACTTCACTTGAACTAGCTGTGTGAAAAATTAACTTAAACGTACATATTAATTTATTATGTAAAATAATTATCTTACTATCATAATATTATTATTATGATAGTAAAATTATAATATAGTAATAATATAAATTATTATTATGATATAAAATTATAATTAGTATTATTGTAAAATAAAATAAAGTATTAAAAAAATTTTGAAGGACAGAAAGTCATTGTTCATTTAATAATAGTAATTATTAATTAGTGCGTTAAAAGAAGTGACGGAAATTAGTATTTTAAATAAGTATTAAAAGATAGAAGTAGAAGACTTATAAAAGTGAGACGAACTGAATAAAAGTCACTTGTCTAAACTTTTATAGCGAATTTACAATATCTAAAAGCATTTCATTTCTGTTTTGAATTAGCTATAAATATTTATTTCAACATTAAAGTAATCAGTTTTACCGTATTTAAAATACGAGAAAACTTTACAACGTTAAAAAAATCATTACGTTTTTTTACAGTACAGACGGGAGGTTAGAAATGTTTTCTCCCCATTCAGTGAAGTGGAACTTTCCAAAGTCGCAGGCAACTATAAGCTGTGTTTTTATTCGTTTTTGATTTCATACCGAGATGACAGAGGAATTTTTATAGGTAAAATTTTTATGATATCATTAACAATAATTTTATATTAAACGAATTATTATTTATATTTGTTTGAACTTGTATTGTCATTTTATTTATTGTTTTAAACTATTTATAACTATAAGCTACTCAAGCAGACAGTCATCAGTCAACGTTATCCATATACACTATTTGTCTTTGTAATTGCTCTAATAAAATGCGTAATATCTTTAATTTATTGTATTAATATATCCTGTAATGAAAATAAATGTTAAAATTATTTTAATTGTAATAAAGAATTAGAATAAATGAAATAGGAAAAATAATATCTAATATTTTATAATCCTGTTATGTAAATATTAGCAAATTTTAGAACTTGATAACTCTGTAACCTATGTGTTTACTTTGTTATATAATAGTACTGGTAGGGCACTGGTTAACCATCTGTTCCCATATAAACAAAACCTTTCTTTCGTAATAAAAGTAACGACAGCGCTTCAATTATTCTTCTGTTACTACTGAGGCACCCTGCAGATAATATATGGAGACGTTGTATTTAAATTACGAATAAATAACTTAAATTCTAAAACTTTATATTTTATAATAGGAAGTATACGATGGATAATAATACCAATGAAACAAGAAATAAATCTACCTGTAAAGAAAAGGGTATTTACTTCCTAAAGTTATTAGAAGATGTACAATTAACTGGAATACCTCAAATAGTCACAGCGACTGATAAAAGAAGAAAAGTTTTCAAAATAATTGTATTTTGTACATGTTTAGCTGGATTCTTGTATCATCTTATATCATTTGTCCTTCTTTTTCTTACTTATCCTTCGACATTAGAAGTTCTAGTGACGTTTAAAGATACCAATGATCTTCCAAAACCGGTATTGACAATATGTGATCTTAATGGGTAGGAAAATCTTAATTAATTCGTATATTCTTCTTATATATAACTTCATATTTTAATTTAATTGTATTAAATACATAATATAAATATTTAATTTAATTTGTAGAATACGTCGCACTTCATTTTGTAACGAGTTGCCCGAAGATTGTGAGAAACCAAAGAATATGAAAGTTTTATGTGAACGTTTTGAATATTTCTGTGAAGACAACGATACCGATAACTTAGTGGTAAGTCATTATATAATACGCAGAAAATTAAGTTTAAAAATACATTAGCGTATATATATTATTTTAATTTATTTATTAACATAGTTTAAAACATGTTTCTACGTTTATATACCGATTTATCATGTAATTACATACTAGTTGAATTATTAATGTTTGCGTGACATTGATAACGCTTAGCTTTATGTTAGTTTCCTTGTAAACTTCACATAAATCATCTAATTATTTATTTCTGTTTATTACTACAGAACTAAAATCGTAACAGTATTTATTATTTCATTGATGAAATATAAATAATAAAAATCGTTAAATGTTATTCATGAAAACAAATTATATATAAAAAAAATAAATAAATCGTCACAAAGTTACTTCCTAGAAAATAATTCATCGTTTGAATGACCTTGTGTTTCATTGTATTCTTATCGAAATACGTCTACATTAAGGTATAGGAAATAACATTCTGCATTATTCTTAATTACCTTAACCTAATTATGTATTACTATGTTTTAAATTTAAAAACCAAATGTTTTCTGTTCATAAACTGTTTAAATTGTTATGTTATTTAAATATGGCACGAAATGACAATTTTAAAACTTATTTCTAAAATAACTTATTTACTTACTAGCAGGTAAGGTTTGTTCTTATATTATGCTCGGGAAAAGAAAAGAACAAGCATTAAGGTTAGCTAATTTGGTACTTCCAACCCTTCTATTGTATTATATTATAGAATTTGATTTATATAACTACAAAGATTATCTTATTAATACGTTGCTGATCTTACCGTTTTCACCGGATACAAGAATTAATCACCATATCTGTGTTGTGCAGTAAGCATTTACCTGTCATATTGACACTAGCTAAAAGGTAATAGTACGTATTTTACTTTCCCGGCTTTTATGTACAGTACTGTACATAGCAGAGGGAAAGTATGGCGATGGGTCAAAAAATTATCTCCCTCAAGATTTTTATATTTTTGGACACAGGAGACCTTAAAACGTCGAGAAATGCAAAAAAGTTTATGGGTTTTTTTTTCTGTATTCATGGTTGTTAGTGAGTGTGGAGGCACGGTTTTGTTCATCCTCTTTGAGGCTTAATAACTTCTGTACCTTTTGTGGAAAATTTTAAAATTTTGCAGGGAAGTTTGTATATTAGGAGCATTGATACTATTAAATATCGATTGTTCAAAGTCGAAGGAGTGGGGAGCTACAGGGGGGAAGGTCCTGTGTCATATTTCGAGTAGGATGACGCCATACGCAGTTTTAAATGTTGCTGGAAAAGTTAAGCATTGCGTTGCTGAATATTTTCATGGGGGCTGAGATTATAACAACCCTCTTCGATAGAAAGACTGGATGAAGCGGACATTCGCATAATCGTTTAGCGCAGGGGTTCCCAACTATTTTGTGGCGCGGGCGCAAAGCGGATTTAAAAAAAAAAAATTACATATTATGTCCTTTATTATAACATGCCTTTTATAACATATATTTACTATAACATATTATATATTTATTATATAATCCGAATCATTGAGATTTTTGATACCGCATTTCATTTGCTAATTTCTCACGGTTGGAAGTGTAAGATGATAATCCCAATCGTAAACAATCTTCAAGGTTGGCATTTGTAAATTGAGATCTGATTTTTGATTTTATAATATTCATGGTTAAAAATAAAGATTTACGCAAATACGTTGTACCAAAACAGGATTTGATCTGTGTGATAAAGAATTTGCTCGAATTTTGTTAATTATTTTAACAACATAACATGTTTAAAGGATAATATTTTGGCACATAATGATTCTTGATGTATGATGAAGCGATAATTCTTAAAGTTCGGAAAGGATTCATCATTCTCGCAATGGGAAACAGAATCCATTATTGCAGCCCATCATCGCTGATGGATCATCAGTGATTATTGCTGATAACTTGTGTAAAGGCATATTCATTTATGTTAAGTAATTTTTAAAGTTATTATAAATATCTTCGCCCCTTGTTCGCTCTTGCATTTATAGTAACTTCTTTCACACTTAAATCACTGAATACCATTCTTATCATTACTGTCAATTGCGCTGTATCTGATATTTGTTGAATCGTCTAATTGTAATGAGAAATACATCCTTCCAAATTATTTTTCAACTGACTTTGTACAGTACTTGTATTGTTTGATAACGACAAATCTTGTAATTATCTCTTAGCATTGCCTAACTAGTCCTAAATGCGATTTCTGTTATTTTGAAGAAGAACTTTATATTACAATATTAAAAAATGTATTAATTTCATGTCATTCGCATAGTTTCCAATACACAATAGTTTACGTGCTGCAGAATTTTTTCGTCAAACCGTGGATAGATATGGACCTACAGCAGAAGATATGTTAGAAACTTACAGGTTAGTTTATCCACTGTTATTTCTCTTAATTCCCATAATAATTTTCCTTCCATACTTGCAGCGATATAGCAACTCCGATCTTTTATACAAATACGTATGGAATGTTGAGAAAATGCTACTCTATTGATTTATCAGAACTTCATGAACTTCATTATTTATTTTCATATGATAAACTTTCATCGTTTCGTAAGTATTACTATATTTTTCAGCAATAGTATATTTATATCATTTTTAACGTATATTAATTTTACTATTGTTTTCAGTAACGAGTGGAGAAGTTATTGCTACTATATTTCTAACATTTAATCCTAAAGAATCATCTAATCCTGCCGCTGCTATAGGAGCAAAAGTATCCGTGCATAACAAGGATCAATTAGTTAATCCTTTTGTTGATGGATTTCGTGTGAAACCAGGGAGAATTTATAACCTTCAATTGAAGGCTGTAAGTATATTTTTTGTATTTATATTTTCTATTTTTTTATTACAAATATCCATAATTATTTTGCAGATAGAAGAAAACCTTCTAGATTCTCCATACGGTACAAATTGTACAAGATACGAGCAGTTAATAGATAGAGGTATCAGCGGTTCATATAGTCGTGATGTATGCCTCAGTAAATATGCTTTCGTCCAATTTTAAAAGTAAGATACGTTTTAGAAACAATTAGTTTCCTTTTTATTGCAGTTTTGTATAATTGAATGTAAAAAAGAATTATGGTTAAAGGAATGTAACTGCGTGTTTGGAGAATATAATTTGGATTTTACAGGAAATTTCTGCGATAAAGTTGGTAAGCTGTGAGATGTTAATTATCATTCAATATATGAATTTACTTATTAAGAGTTTGGGTATTCTTCGTGAAATGTTTCAGTTTATTTCATTAGGCATATATTCATTTTCATCTAATGACGAGTAATTTTAATTTTAGAGGAGTATAAATGCATCAGAGATGTAGACGAAGATGAATGCTACAATAAATGCAAGAAAAGTTGTGAGTGAGTATTTGTTTTTAAACCTAACTTTTCTGGTACAGTACCTGTATTTGGAGTGGAAAATAGGGGAAGATACCTCCGGCAGCACCACTCTTGACTCGAATGAAACGACGAGCTTTCTTCCTGCAAGACAGTACGAATGATACAGAACCTTTTTCGAAGATAAATTAAATAATAATTTATATCAGGAAAATCTAAATTAGACGTGATGTGAGCAGAGAAGAATAACGATTTCTCTCGTTCTTATTGTCCCTTTCTTTTGCAATATTTTCATTCAATAATAGTGTTTTCAACTGCTCCTGTTAATTTCATTTCCTTTTCTAATTAATTTTCTTATTATAGTAAATTTAAAGCGCTTATAAAATAAAACGTATTCTTCAGTTAACGTATTTGTACAGAAATGTCATATCATTTAATAAACTTATTAAGATGTATTTTTTTTTCTGATTATGGGACGTTAGGGTTTCATCTTGCCAGATAGTTTAATTAAATTTCTATATATTGTATTTTACAGACTTAGGTATTTTGAATACGAAATAGATCAGTTGGAAATAGAACAATATCACGTAGAAAATGTAAGTCTAAATTCATCCTTTATAATTCATCATACAATAAAACTGTATGAATATTTAATACGTATTTTATATTTTCAAGTTTACGTGGGATAAAAATGACGATTGGTGGAATAACGAAAGGTATTTGATCTATTTTTATTTATATCTTCTTTTAATTGATTAAAAAAAATTCATCCCCGTTCCTTACTGTACATAAGAATATGGTATTCAACGATAAGTGTATACTACAAAAGGCCTGAAATTCTAATTTATAAATATAAACCACAATACGAGGTATGTCCAATAAAATAATATTCTATGTATTCATTTTAAAAATAGATTAAACAAATTATTTTTATCTTTCAGTTGATTGAATTTTTCAGTTATATCGGTGGTTACATAGGAATTTGGTTAGGAATATCCCTGATTGCGGTGTTCGATTTTCTAGAAATGCTATTCGTTTTCTGCTGCTGCGTAATCAAAGGGAAAATTCCTATTAAGAGAGAGAAAAAATCCAATGTTCTGTTACAAAATGATACAAACGTATAGAAATTTTTTATAAGCATTTAATACGAAACTTTAAAAAACTCAATAATATAAATTTGTAAATACTTAAATACAAATGTCAACGTTTATTTTTAATTATAAAAGATTGCTTTACTGAAAATTTTATATATTGTTATTATATATATTTTAACATATAATAATTAAGTTATTTTTATTATTATATACATTATATTTGTATTGAAAGATACGAATTTAAAACTATTCGAAATATTGTTTTATGAATTATATAATTTAGAAAATGTAATTTATGAGAATTGTATAATAAAATATTTTGATTAAAGTTTATTTTTAGATAATGTTTTTACTATTCCTACATGTATCCATTTTTTATTCCTTGTATATATAAATGAATACATGAATATCTAAAGAAATAGAAATATTTTAATACTTAACTTATATATAGGCCTATATATAAATCATATAGAAAATTTCGGTTTAGACTAGAAATAATCTTATTTCAATTCGAATATTTTCCCCCTAAAAGGAGTTAGATAACCGGCACTACTCTGTTCCTAACAGGAAAGTATGATGGACTGTTCTTAGGTATGACATTAGTAATTTAAGGTGGAGAACATATATTTTAAATGAAATAAATTTACAATATACCCGATTGCAACCGGGAATTGTGACGATGTCGCAATAATACGTACCGTTGATATACATAACACAAACGTAATAATGTTTAATGATCTGTTACTATTTTATAAATAAATAGTGTCTATTCATCTTATTATAGCCATTGTTTCCTGTCTGAGTTATTTAAAATACAAATTTTATTTTGTAAATATGTGCAAACGAGAACATTTGCCAAAAATAATACGAAAATTTAATCTAAAAATATCCATACGTTTTCCAGCCTATTTAAAAATTATAAAGAGTTAAATCTTCAAATTCTCTTTTGAGAACTCTTTTCAGTAATGAAAAACAAAACTTTTTTGTTGAAATTTATCCTTAATATATACAATATACATTTAGTACTGTACACATATATATATTGTATGTGTGTATATACAGTATTAATTATATATATACTGTTTAATTTTAGTATCAATAATGTTGCCAATTATTATTTTTATACTGTATATACATAGAATAATTTGGAAGTATTATTGATATTAAAGTATATATATGTGCGATTGATATTTAAGAATAAATTACACTCACAAATCAGTAGAAAACGTTAGATATTTTATTATCTTTAAACGTATTTCCGTATTTTATGATACAGATGGTGTTTTTGAAACGAGTTTTCCCTTCGTACAAATGGAATATTCCAAGTACAGACACAAACATTAAACTGACTTTTCATTTACGTTACATCCTTCGTAAAGAAAGTGTTTAGAAAAGCGTTTAAAATAGAAAGGTGAGTTCTTTATCGTATTTCGTATACACTACTATTGTCATGTTATCTGTCATTCACGCCTTCTAATTACTTGCAGAACGGTATTTATTTATATATTAGTACGTTTGTTTTAATTGACAATGACTCATATGTAGATGTTGTTGATAATAGAAAGTATTGTAGACAGCTAAGTGTTTTCGATGATATAAAACAGCTCTTATTGTTTATCGTCTCGTACAAAAACTTATATACTTCATTTGCTAAGGAATTATAAGAAATAGAAATAATATTAATATATAAAATATCTTACTTTTATATTTATAGAAATGGCGGATGATAGTGGTAGTAAAAGAAGAGATAAATCTTCTTGTAAAGAAAAGCGCATTTTCTTTATGAAAATGTTAGAAGATGTTTTGTTAACTGGAGTACCTCAAATAGTTACAGAATCAGACGGAAGAAGAAAAATCTTCAAAATAATCGTATTTTTTGCTTGTTTATCTGGATTTTTATATCATCTTATATCTTATATTATCCTTTACCTCGCTTATCCTACAACTTTAGACGTTTTGGTGGAATTTAAAGAAACCGAACAGCTTCCAAAACCTGTTTTAACAATATGTGATCTTAACGGGTAAGAAATGCGCTTTACTTAAATAATAAAGAATTGTTTCTTAACCTTTTATCATTTTTCTAATACATGTTAAATTATATGCTATAGAAGTTATAGGAATTTTTCTAAAGCGTGTCTTATTCTTTATTATAGTAAATTTCATTTGAATATTAAACTAAAACTTTATTTTTAGACTGCGACGTATTCCTTTGTGTAAAGATTTTCCGGAAGAATGCGAGAAACCGAAAAATATGAAAGCTTTATGCGAACGTTTCGAATATTTCTGTAAAGATAGTGACGTCGATAACTTAATGGTAAGCGATTCGATTAAAATAATATGCTAAATGACTTCTCACTTAGGTCAGTAACATTGAATAAACTATATTAAAAACTAATAACTAAATACCAATTCTCAATTCAAGGTCGACATTAGTATAATAATAATACTACGTATCAACGGATGTCGAGGTTGTATCTATTTATTCTTGCCAGTTACGCTTCAGTAGATAGTAAAAATTGCTGTTATACATTACTAAACTACATTGAATATACAGAAGAATGGTTTTATGCCAAATATACTTTGTTAGAGATTAATTATAAATTAAAACATTGATAAATTCCTTGTTGATATGACCTTGTAATTTCATATGCTTATATACATCTACAAGGAAGTGACATTTTTATTTTGAATTAATATATTTAAATGTATGTCGTCAAGAAAAGGTGTCATCATATTCTATCTTTTGCTGTGAATGAGAATTATCTATGAACGATTTCAAGTTATATTTTTAGGTATTTACTACACTTTACATTACAATTCCAGTTTTGTAGCAGTTGGTTTGTTAATGCAATAAAGTCTTGTGTCACTTCACTTGAACTAGCTGTGTGAAAAATTAACTTAAACGTACATATTAATTTATTATGTAAAAATAACTAATTTAACAAGCTAGACTAATTGACTAACTATTGTCTCTTTTAACTGGAAAAGTAATTAATATGTTAATCACCTGCATTAAAATTGTAAGATTTTCACAATAGAATTTAAATGAAGTGAATTATAACTTAACGATTATAAATTAAATTTTTTAATTTATAATCGTTAAGTAATATNCAATGATAATATGAATAATTTATGATCGAGATTATCGCATTTTTTAGATTATTATCAAAGTTAATTAGTAATATACTGCTTTAACTAAAGAAGCCTAATATATTTTCATGATAAAAATGCAGAACAGTCATTTAATGCTGTAGCAAACAGAATCCTGTTTCCTGGAAATCACATTAGTATTCTCTCAATAGAAAGGATGACCTTTCTATTGAGAGAATACTAATAACAAACAATATTCCAACAGTAATAAATATTTTTGCTGCAATAAAATAATTTTCCAGTAATATTTATCACTGAAAAAAGCCTTTTAAAATTATACTACTCGTAAAAAGAACATATTTCATTCTTGAACTTCTTCCAAAACAAGTCTAAGACCAAGCAAATCAGCATTTTTTCTTCACAAGTCAGCATTCAGATGCCAGAAATTATAAACAAACGAGTTATTAATCAGTAAAAAATCTTCACTATATTTTTAATGATGTTTCTCTTTATAAAATGACAAAATTCCTCTCTTAAATAGTAGTTATATATTTTTTATTACAATATTTTTCAAAATTTAGGCTACCTTTCGTTTTTCCAATCACTAAATAATATAATAGTAAACAGAATATCTAAAAGGCTATATTTTGAACCAAATTAATTAAAAGATGTTTAAAAATATGTATAAAATTTTTAAATATAATTAAAATTTACTCATATTAGAGTGACTATATATATTTCAAACAGATCTGTCTGTGTACTCAAATCTGTAAACTCCATTAAAATCTTAAAAATTCACACAATAAAAAAGAGTAATAATACTAAAACACGTTACGTCTGGAAAAACATAAAACAGAGTTATGATGAGAAATAATTAAATTGTTCATATCATAAATCATTAAATGTCGTCTAACTGTCTCTGACAGATGAGAGATGATTTTCATTCCTTTAAAAAGTGAAAAAAAAATTATATTTACAATTAATAAAAAATATTTATTGTAGTGTCTTCAGTAGGATTGAATGATTTTTTAGATTTACTCTCTAGGATCCTGAGGAAACTATAAATTACCACGAAACCTGACCTTAAGTGTGTGACCTCGACACGCGATCTTCTCGATCTTTAATAACAGCAATTTAATACATAAATGTCCTAAAAACCTCCCTGCCAAATTTCAGAAATTCTCGATAAAAAGCACAGGAGTTATTAAATTTCAAAGAGGGTGAACAAATTGTTACCCCCCACACACATAACACCATACATACAGAAATTACCCACAAACGTTTTCAAGATCTCCTGAGCCGGGAAGGTAATTAAGATATCAATTATAAATAAATTCTGAAATAAAATGTAGACTTTAAGATCGTTTTTCAAATCTTAATATTTACTTTAGAGATAACAAGTTTTATATTTCTTACTTTCGAAACATCTGCAGTTAAATTTAACTGTTTATACATCATAAAATGTAGTTTCTACTTGTTCCCTGTTGAATAATAAAGTAGAACAACCACTTCGTTACGATTTAATTTATTCCTAGAAATTTTATTTTCTCTAAACTCAATATCGTAAATTTATATTACGTTTCTGTAAGTACTTATATTATATAATATCACACAGAAATAGCGAATAGAAAAATAGGGATTTTATATAATTAGAATAGAAAATTTATACTTCTACCAAGTGTTATAGAGCGAGAGATGATAGACATATGTTATATATTTTCTTATACAGTAAATTATATTTGTTTTCTGATATTTTAATACTTATTAATAACTATTTTTAATTTTAATAGTTTCCGACACATAACTTATCTGTGGTTTCGGACTATCTACGTAGTATTGTGGATATCTACGGACCTACAGTTGACGATATTTTAAAAAATTATAGGTTAGCCTCATAATTATTATTTTAATTAATGATTGATCAGTAACTTTCCTTTCATAATTTCAGCAATTTAACGACTCCAGTGTTTTATACGAACACTTATCGAAAATTGAGGAAATGCTATTCTCTCGATTTAGCTAAATTTGACAATTCTTATTACACTGTCGTTTATGACAAATTCAACGCTTTTAGTAAGTATATTTCTTAAATATGATGTAAATTATGTACACAACCCTTGTAAGAAATTAACATAACTTTTATTGTATTTAGTTTCGGAAGGAGAACTCGTTGGTACTATATTAGTAACGTTTAATCCTAAAGAAATATCAAATCCGAGTACTCCTGTAGGTGCAAAAGTATCTGTACATAATCGTGATCAACTCGTCAACCCTTTTCTTGACGGCTTTCAAATTAAACCGGGAAGAACTTATAACGTTAAATTGAAAGCTGTAAGTAAATCATAACTATAATATCAGTAATTTAATCATTAATATAACACTCAAACTTATTCCAGGTACAAGAAAATCTATTGGATTCTCCCTACAATACAAATTGTACAGATTATGAAAAACAAAAAGACAAAGGCTTTAATGGTATTTATAGTCGTGATGTAAGCAATATTGTGTTTAAAATTGTTATATCTTTGTTTTGTACGTTATTATATTGTGAATACATATGTAAAATAATTAGTTTCTTTCGTAGTTTTGCATAATTGAATGCAGAAAAGAATTATGGCTAGAAAACTGCAATTGCGTATTGGGAGAGTATAATTTTCCTTTTACTGGAAACTTCTGCGATGAGGAAGGTAAGATGTAATTAAATAATCAGTTAAATTTTTATTTATACTTTAATTTAAATGTATTATTTTGTCAAAAACACTTCACTGTGTGTGTGTGTGAATTCTTTGTGGACTGTCGCTGATGTGTTAAAACGACGGATAAGAAACGGAAGTAACAAAAGTTTTTTTCTTTGTATATTAATGTTTTATTAAGTTTTATTACATAGGTTAGCCGGGTATTTCCTGGTTATGAAAATGGCTATCACATATTTAAAACAACTACAGATAGTTATTTGCAGACCCTTTTAAATATAGGCATAGTGTGATTTTAATCGAAAGATCTGAGAGTACAATATTTCACTATTATAATTCTCGCCCCTAAGTGAAATAAATATGTTTCTTTCTTTTACTTTAGAGGAATTCCAATGTATTTCAGATGTAGATGTTGATAAATGTTATAAACAATGCAGAAGAGGTTGTAAGTGAGTATCTTTTCGGAAATTTTCCTGAATTACTGTATTAACTTTTCTTATAAAAATATACCCACTTAAATAATAATTAGCAATTACTAATAGTATTTTGTTTAAATAAGAATATGGTATTCGACGATAAGTGTTTTCTACAAGAGACCTGAAATTCTGGTTTATAAATATAAACCGCAATACGAGGTATGTTCAATAGAATAATAACGACTGATGGGTTTAAGTACTGTACCTCCATTCAACTCTTATCTACCAGGGATATGTAATAGACTAAATGCAACTAAATTTCGTTGTGCATTTGGACAATCTGTGTAATTTTTGGTATTTGTGCAGACATTTAAAAAGTGTGGTTTAGCGATAACACGTTGCAATTTGGCTGCTAAATATCTATGTAAATAGCGTTGAATGGGGAATACTTTAAACGTGATTACCCGATATTTTATATATTTGTTAAATAATACATTAAATGAAATGTGTTTTATTTGTCTTTCAGTTGATCGAATTTTTCAGTTATATTGGCGGTTACATTGGGATTTGGTTGGGAATATCTCTTATTGCAGTATTCGATTTTCTAGAAATGCTATTCGTTTATTTTTGCTGTATAATCAGAGGGAAAATTCCTACTAATAAAGAAACAAACTCGAATATTCTGTTAGAAAGTAAACCGAGTGCTTAACTAAATCAAGTTTACACGCAAGTATTCTGAGGTGAAATAATTAATTTTATAAATTAATTTGTAAATACTAATTACACAATGATAAACAGAATATATGTTAGAAAACATTTTGTTTTTAATAAAAACATTTTTTAACGTTGAATTTAGTAGTTTTTAATTGAATTTAACGATTTTTTTTTAACTTTGTTCATACTACATTAAACAACTGACTATTAGTTCTGTACCAATCTCGATGACGTTCGCACATGTTTAAGTAGAAGTACTGTACAACGTACAAATGTCCAATGCTCTGATGAAGTGTAACCGTGATCCTCCTACATCGAACTGATTCCTCTCTAATGTCTGCCACTTATTCATTGCTACATATTACTCTGTCTGTCAAACTGAAACTGAAAACTTTTAACAGTTTACGCTGAAACTTTCGAACTGCTGTAAGAACGACGGAAAAAATTCAACGCATTAAATAAATTTTACTGATGGTTTGTGGGTTTCTGATAAGAGGAAATCGCTGCAACGCTTAGCGAACCGTCTTAGTGGACTGTTTGACAGTGGCATGATGTCGGTGGAGTCACTGAAGAGTTTAAGTCGAATTCCTTGCAAAGATGAAAGCACGAAGAGCATCGGTAGAATGGAAGAATCACGCCTCCCAAGCGAGTGATTCGGGTTCGATTTTCGGGCGATGAATGCTGGTCGACTGTAAATAATTTAGCTGTTACGGCTTACAGTTTTATTTGCTGCAAGTAACGTTTTTTTTGCAGAAATTCGACTGCGTGATTTCGCTTGGTGAAGTGGACTGTACCATATGTTCTCGCATAGTTTTTCACTGTGCAATAACATATGGCGTACGCGATTGGAAATTGCGAGCGGGCTACGAGTTGAGACCGAAGAATGCAGAAAAGTATATTTGGTAAGTTATCATTCTTGGAGTACTGATAAACTTAGTGTTACATCTGCTTTCGAACACAGAAAGCAACACTTCCTAATTTGCCGCAACGTTCGGACTGTCTCGAAATTAGGTTAAAGTGTATGGCTAACTGAATATGAAACAACTGACGATCTGACAAGATGCAGCGTAATACCAAGTGGATTGTTGACTCCAATCCTGGACAATGCAGTGAATTTAATTAATATGGCATGTTCATCGCGGAATCAATTAGCTTACAATTGGATGGTCTCACAATGAAAAATTTTATTGTGAGACCATCCAATTGTAAGCATCATTCGCAAAAGTCAGTGCTATAGTGAGAGGATGAAACTATTACTGTTCAGCCAGGTATGTGAGCAGTGAAAGCTAATCTAAAATTCAAAATCACAAAACCAAGTCTCATATTATTGCCTTAATTATACAGAAAATAATTTAAGTTTTATAAGTTTAATTAAATTTCTATTAAAATTCGATGAAAAGTCATGAAATTTTTAATAAGTGTGAGAATCCATGAATCATGAATTAAGAATTTTTTCTCTCAAAACGGTTGCAAAATAATTAGATCTCGATTGAATATTTTATTTTGAAGAAAACAATGAGATTTGTAATGTACAGCAAAAATCGCTCTAGCAATACTTCCACGTGTCCAGTCTCTACAGTAATACATACAATATTTTTTCACTTTTATCTGCACATTATATTGCAACTAATATTTAATTTTACCTAAGAAATAAAGTTTCTGAAACTTTTTTCTGTAGTACTGTATTACTTAGCCTTTTTCAATTTCTTCGGTTCGTGTCTACTAATTTTTTAACTTTGTCATTTAATAAATTTCTTCTTTTATATTCTCGCGAAAGCTTGCAGTACTCTGTGAACTATTCAATTATTCTTCTCAGTCCTCCCATTAAATAGTGTCAAGAATATATTGTAATAATGCGGCCGACGTTCACGTTTTAGAGATGAAAACTTTGGCCGCAACCTCACTAATACTGCAAAGGACTTGATTTTTGCAATTTGTTTTCTTTTTTCACTGAAATGACTCATATTTCAAATTATTTTTCACTATTCAAATTTTAAATGGCATTACAAAATTTTTGTGGTGAAATGAATATATGATAACGCATATTAGCATAAAAGTTCACATTCATCAAATTCTATCTATATTCGGTTTATGGCGTGTGACGTCGCCTTCCGACCTCTAAGAACTCTCCCCATCTCTCTCTGTCCATACACCATTCCTCTTTAATCCCGTTTTCACTACGTGTTAACGCCATCGTACCAAGTTCGCCTGGGTCTTCCTCTCTTTTTCTTCTTTTGTTAAATGTATTCCATTGATATTTTCGGGAGTTTCTCATCACTCATTCTTTCACGTCTCCAAACCAAATAAGTTGTTTCCTCTGTATTTCTTCCAAAACCGTTTTCTTCAATCCCAATAGGTTTTTGANTTTTTCACTGAAATGACTCATATTTCAAATTATTTTTCACTATTCAAATTTTAAATGGCATTACAAAATTTTTGTGGTGAAATGAATATATGATAACGCATATTAGCATAAAAGTTCACATTCATCAAATTCTATCTATATTCGGTTTATGGCGTGTGACGTCGCCTTCCGACCTCTAAGAACTCTCCCCATCTCTCTCTGTCCATACACCATTCCTCTTTAATCCCGTTTTCACTACGTGTTAACGCCATCGTACCAAGTTCGCCTGGGTCTTCCTCTCTTTTTCTTCTTTTGTTAAATGTATTCCATTGATATTTTCGGGAGTTTCTCATCACTTATTCTTTCACGTCTCCAAACCAAATAAGTTGTTTCCTCTGTATTTCTTCCAAAACCGTTTTCTTCAATCCCAATAGGTTTTTGATCCTCTCATTAGTTATTCTTTCACTTTTCGAGATTCTGCACGATCTTCTCAATGCATCCATTTCAATTGTTGTTACTTTTCTCTTCTCTTCCCCAGTCATTCTCTATGCCTCCGCCCCGTATAACAGAAGGCTTTTAACAATAGCATTATATATTTTCTTGATCTGGTTATTTCTTCACTCCACCATATTTTATTTAATCTTTTAACTGCTCTCTTGGTTTGTGCTAATCTTATATTAATTTCTAATGCATCTCTTCCATCTTGATGAATTTGTATTCTAAGGTAATTGTAATGCTCACATCCCTCAATCTTTTTTCCTTCTTCCAGTTCCGTGTCTGTTTTAACCCCTCCTATGCAGAAATATTTTGTTTTACTCGTGTTTATATATAAACCTCCTTTAAAATATTCCTCTTTTATTTTTCTTGTCATGTATTCCAAATCATCCTTATCTTCTGCCATTACCTCCTGATCATCTGCGAATTGTCGGCTTACCGTTAATATCTATTCCCGTATTACATTTCTTTTTCCATGTTTTCAATACTCCTTCTACGTAGATTTTAAATAAAGTTGGTGAGATACAACATCCCTGTCTTAGTCCTTTTGATACCATAAATCCTTTTGAATATTTCTTCCAATTTTTCTTTTCGTTATAGATTCTTTATATACTGTAATTCTTTAACTGCTTTAATAAGTGTGTTATTAATATCAATATTTATATTTATATCTTTTAATGTCTCCCATAGTTTTGATGCTGGGACATTATCATATGCCTTTGTTAACTCTATAAACAACAAATGAGTTTCCTGTTTTGTTGCTAATCTTTATTTCATAATCTGTTTTATACAGAAATTATTGTCCATCTTTGTTCTGAATCCACTCTGCTCTTCTTTTTCTTTTGTTTGATATTTTTCTTCGATTATATCTCTTATTATTAGTCCATATAATCTACTAAATGTTGATGTTACTGTAATTTCTCGATAGTTCACACATTTTTGTTTGTCTCCTTTTTTATAGATAGATGTCAAAAGTCCAATTTTCCATTCTTTTGGAATGTCTTTTCCATTAAGACACCTTTCAAATAATTTTGTTGTCATTGTAAATAATTTTTCTGTTCCATTTTTTTATCAGTTCTGCCGGTATTCCTCCAGGACCACTTGCTCTATTATTCTTCAATTTCTTACACGCTTGTCTAATCTGTTTTGTCTCTAAATGAATTGGTACCTCCTTTTCTACGTTTATATCTTCTGTCGTAAATTGAATTCTATCTTCTGTTAATAAATTTTTATAATATTCTTTCCATTATTTAACTGAGACAAACTGTCCTTTATTACTATTACTTTAATTTCTAACATTTTTTAGCAATTTCCATGATTTAGTGCAATTTCTTCCTCCTGTATATCTTTCTATTTCTCTACATTTTCTATCCCAACCCAATCTTTTCTTTTCCAGAATTAATTTTTTATTGATTTTCTAAGTTTTTTTTATATCTTATTCTATCCTCTTCTTTTTTAGTGTTCATTCATTTTAAGTAAGTTACTTTTTTGTTGTATCATGTTTTCTACTTCTTCGTCCCACCAGAATTTTTTAAAAGTTTTTCCATGTTCATTGATTTGTCCTAGCTTCATTTGATGCTTAGTTTAGTGCTGTTTTTATATTTTCGTATAATTCTATAGTGTTATCATAGCTTTCGAGATTAAATTTTGTTAACGACTCTATTGTTACAGGAAAAAGTATGATGTACTGTACAGGGGCAAGTCACTACTAATTTGAGATGGAGAGCATATATTTTGAATTAAATAAATTAAACATATGATAAAAAAATTTGCAGCCCGGCATTGTGATCATATAACAATAAACAATTGCTCGTTGCATAACCTCTTGGGATGCCATGTGTCGTATATGACACGCAATTTTCCTTCCAAAGAATGAGAAGCAGCTCTGCTTTTTTGCTTGCTAAACAATTATATTAGTTATACATTTTGTCATTAGAGTTTAGTGAAGCTTATTAGACCACACGCATTCCACTGCGACAGAAACAAAGGAAAATATAAATGATTGTCTGAGCATATGTTTTTATTAAAAACTTATAAATTCTTAATATCATATTTATAATAAATGTCAATGATTTAGTTTTAATTTCTCATTGTCAACAGTCGAAATATATAAGAAACACGATAAGACACATGATATTGATAGAAATTTGTCTGAAGTGGGAGACTGGTTCAGTGATAAAGACAGTGACAAAACATTTGTTCTTTGAGCAGACTGTGCTGAAGAGTGTAAGTCATTAGTCTGTTCAAAAAACAAATTATAAAAAGTGTCAAAATCGCTATCACATTCAGACAGTACAGGCAATAAGAAAAAAAGGATCAATAAAAATGACGAAAAAGAAAAGAAAATTATACAAAAAATACTTCAACTTTGCATCCCAGTGAAATACAATGCAAAAGTGAAGCAAAACACGTGCCAGAAATCATTGTAAATTGCAAAAATTACCACTGCCCAATGTAAGAATGTAAAAGTGTATGAGCTACAGTGTACTGTATCAACTGCAAAATACATCTGTGCCTTGGTAAAATAAAAATTGTTTCAAAGCATATCATATATAAATAAAAAAATGTCAAATAATGTACAAAAACAGTCAAATAAATCATTTTTACATGAACGGAAAAGTTTGCATTTTGTATAGGTAGAGAACTATTGTGTCATATATGACACGTACCATTTTTTAATGATCAGAACAAAAAAATTTTAGAATAATGACAATTTACTAATAAGTGACACATAAAGGTCAAAAGCATAACAAAACTTCAATAAAAAAATAGTTTTTTCAGTAGTGGATCTCAAGAGGATAATTAAAACAAAATAATTTTATTTCTTCGTGTTTGTTATATTACTTTCTTGGTTTAAATATTAAAAATTAGTTTGGATACATTTTTATATTGTTAGTTATAAATGTATACTTAATTATTTAACTAATGTACTACATTTCCACGAAGATTGAATTGTTTGATTATAGTCTTCTTTGATCGAAGCAAAATTTTCTCCATTGTTAATATTCAATGTGTTTGCAACCATTATAATTTCTTTCCAAGCATATTCAATATCTGCCATTGTTATGTTTCTCGAACAAACTACGAAACGTATGACATATTTGCCAGATAATTCTGTTGGAGTAAGAAGAATGTTCCTCTTTCCATTAATCTTCTTCAATAACATTTGATTGATAACATTTGGTCCCTATAATTATATGAAATATTTATCATTTTTTTTCAATTTTATATAATATCGATCAATGTATTTATACCTTCATTCGGAAGCAGACTAAACCCATAACGACAGGAGCACATATTTCGAATCTTTCGTCTTTTAAAACTAGTTTTTCAAATTCTCGAGCTAAAGAGACGTGCTAAAATAAAAAAATAGTTAATATAATATAAATAAAAGTATTTTTTATGCGTTTACATTAATCTACCTTTCTTATGATAGCCTGTATTTTCTTCTTTCCAAAACTTCTTAGTACAAACCATAACTTTAAAGAACGAAATCTTCGACCCAATGGTATTTGCCAATGCTTAACAATAAACAAATTAATATATTTTAATTTGTAGATATAAATATTAAGAAATTTTATAACCCTTACTCTATAATCCGGAACTTTCTCTTCGTTTTCGTGACGCAAATATGGCGGATTAACTTCAAACAATTCCTTTAGATCTGCGCCATTTTTAATCCTAAAATAATATATACGTTCTTCAAAATATTTAATTACGATGCCAATTTAATGCTTTTTAAAGTAATTATACATACCACATGACGGTACAATCGAAATTCACCAACATCCATTTATGTGGACTCATAGTAAATGAATGAACGTACTATTAAAGTAAACTTTATTGTTTATGAATATATTTTAATATTTATAATAAAAATGTCAGACTAACCTCCATTCCATTAGCTATATATCTAAATTCTGGGCATATTAAAGCGGCACCAGCGTAAGCAGCATCCACGTGAAGCCATAACTTTTCTTTTTTACCTGTAATTTTGTACATTATATTGAAAAAAAGTAATCTATAACTAGAATATCTTTATTTTAAAAAAAGCACAAACATATTGCTCCTATTTCTTGTAAATTATCAAAGGCGCAAGAACTCGTCGTTCCTAACGTTGCAGCCACCTGTAAATAATTGGTGTATCATTATAAAGTTAAATTTGTTTTTAAATAAAACGATTAAAATACCTACAAAACAAGGAACGTAACCATTTTTAAGATCTTCTTCGATAGCCTTTCGTAAAGTTTCTCCTCTTAAACCATACTTTTCGTCAGTATTCAAATATCTCAATGTTATATCAGTAAATAAAGCGGCTCTCTTGATTGAAGAATGACCCTAAAATAAATTACATTAGTAATTATTTAAATAATAAATATATTAAATTTTATACAAATTTTTTTTTATTTTACCTGATTAGAAGTATACGCAATTAATTTATGATAAATTTGTGAGGGATGTAGATTAGGATGATCTTTCAAAATAACTGAAGTTACTAATTTTCTAGCTGCAAGCAATGCTAATAATGTCGATTCACTTACGGAACCCTATAAATAATTTACACTGTGTTATTAAATTATTATATTTAATAAACATTTAAAAAAACAGTGTTCTAACTTGTATAATTCCTCCTCCTTTTCCTCCCGAACAGAATAGAAATTCTTCGGGCAAGTTCAACAATTTACCTAACCAATCAGTCATTTTCATTTCTAATTCGGTGCAAGCTGGACTCGCAGCCTGAAAAAAAAGAAAAATAATGTATTTAATTCTATTTTTTACGCTACAAAATTGATTTATAAATCTTTACCCAATTGAAACCAATACAGTTAAGTGCACCAGAGAGCATATCTGCACAAATCGATGGAAAAGAATTAACCGATGGAAAGTATGCATGGAAATGTGGAGATGCCCAATGAGTCATCTGCAAATAGATACTTATATAATCAAATATATAATAAAATAATTTGGTAATAAACTTAATAAAATTTTCATTTACTTACACCAGGTATGATGACTCTGTTAAGATCATTAAATATATTCTTCCATGGTTCACCATTATTAGGTGCTTCGTCTGGTATAAGTTCGTTGATGTATCCAGGTTGAACACCAGAAAATACAGGTTTTTCGTGAATGTATTTAAAATAATCCGCTATATAGTCAACGAGTTCTTTGGCACACACGCGAAACTCTTCCAATTCCATTCTCTTTTAATATGAACTGAAAGATGTGTCTTCTAAACTATAAGAGTAATAATATGACAATTTACTAATAAGTGACACATAAAGGTCAAAAGCATAACAAAACTTCAATAAAAAAATAGTTTTTTCAGTAGTGGATCTCAAGAGGATAATTAAAACAAAATAATTTTATTTCTTCGTGTTTGTTATATTACTTTCTTGGTTTAAATATTAAAAATTAGTTTGGATACATTTTTATATTGTTAGTTATAAATGTATACTTAATTATTTAACTAATGTACTACATTTCCACGAAGATTGAATTGTTTGATTATAGTCTTCTTTGATCGAAGCAAAATTTTCTCCATTGTTAATATTCAATGTGTTTGCAACCATTATAATTTCTTTCCAAGCATATTCAATATCTGCCATTGTTATGTTTCTCGAACAAACTACGAAACGTATGACATATTTGCCAGATAATTCTGTTGGAGTAAGAAGAATGTTCCTCTTTCCATTAATCTTCTTCAATAACATTTGATTGATAACATTTGGTCCCTATAATTATATGAAATATTTATCATTTTTTTTCAATTTTATATAATATCGATCAATGTATTTATACCTTCATTCGGAAGCAGACTAAANCAAAAATATATGGAAAATGTCATACCTTTTCTTCTAACTGATTATACTTTTATGACATGTATACAGAAGTGATCATTTTGGCCTCATTTTGTATATTTATTGGCCTTAATTTTATACTGTAGCCTGAAATAATATCTGTTAATAACCTTCTGGTGGAAACTGGGTAGTAGTAAAAAAGTAAAAGTGTGTAATAAACGAATGTTTTTTGTCATATTAAATAAACACCTAATTAATTTTTGTCTGCCTAGATATGTTTTTAAGACCATATCTAAGCTCCTGTATTTATTTCTAATATAATAATATTATTAAAATATAGTCGTGATAAACATTAATTTTATTTTATTTTACCACTAGATTACCACTAGCGGAGTAGATAAAAACTACTGAAAATTTGGTCGCGGGTTCGCGCTTCTCTAGATCGCGTGGAGATTTTTGGGTTTTATTTTTCACGTGTCTAACATCTAAATACGGATTGCTTTCCCTTCAGAGTCCTACCGAGAGACCAGAACTTCCATGTGTTACGTTGCCTAATCCAATCAATTCGAACCCCTTAAGATGGGGATGGCCGGGTGGTGATGGAATGGGTCTAGGACCTAGGTTGTAAAACACTGCCGTTCTGAGTCTTCTAGAGCGCCAGAGGTCTTTGGATATTAATAGAAACAGTATGAACTTCCCGTTTATTTGTATGTTATACAACTTTTTACAATACACAATAAATTTTTATAATTTTTTTCTACTAAATCTTACGAAAAGTTTTATTTTTTGTACTTCTCTATTAAGATAACGAATGCGAATTCAACATCTGTGTTTACAAAGTTCATTGTCTTATTTAAAAATCAGTTAGACCATTAATGTGCGACTAATTTTTACACTATTTCAATGCTTTCCCGTGTTATATATACATACCAGTCGACCCCCCTATAACACTGTTGATTATTCCGTTTTATACGAATTCCATGTTGTACGAGTCACTTAGATTTTACAAATACGTGTGCCAGGCTGTGAACGGCTTACGTATTTGTAAAATCTAAGTGACTCGTACATCATGGAATTCATATAAAACGGAATAATCAACAGTGTTATAGGGGGGTCGACTGCCGGAAAAGTAAAATATAAGAATGTTTAGAAATGCATTTAACTTATTGCTACAAAATATTTTGTCTTGTTTAGAAACGTTTCAGTGTTTATTCTCTTTATTTTTGGAGTGTTTGGTTATATATACATATAGCCTATATATATAATCCGTACGTAATATCCATTGCATCCAAAAAGAGTATGGAAGGAACGAAGTTTAAGACGATGGTTGTAGTACAGTTGATTGAGGTGATAAAGGGACTTATCTCAAAGATTGAAAGCGGTACTTGTGTAGCACATCTGGGGCCATGTACCCCGTATTACGGTGTCTACAGTTTGCACCGTTCTTAAGAACAAGAAAGCAATAAAAGTAGCAAATGTAACTAAAGGTGTGACGACGTTGACCTCCAGCATATCGCGTATTGAGATGAAAAAATTCCTTCTGGTGTAGACAAATGAGAAGCAATAAGCTGATGATATAATCTCCGAGAGGATTATTTTAGAGAGAGCCAAAAAGCTGCATAGTCACCTTAAGAATCGGGACATCACCATTCCTCGTCTAGGTACAATAATTCAAATTTTCGTTTTATTATACAGTATTTACTTATTTTATTTATTGTTTTCATGTTTTAATTTATTATTTAAGGCATTTTAATTGTGTTATCGTTCCTTTAAATTATGTGTAGGCTATTAATTGTTTAATTTAATTTATAGAAATGGGTAATGTTTTGAGTCTGGGAACGGGTTAATTCACTTTCCATTATTTCTAATGAAAGAATTTTGATTCGCAGTTCGTAAGTAGACGATAATTATTATTTAAGTTGAAAGTTCAAACTCTCTTCTTGTTAAGCAATAATTACATTCTTTGTGATTATTATCGGTTGCATTGTATCTCTAATTTACAGAAAAGATATGTTAATAAAAAATAATAATAAATTTGTTATGTAAGATTCTGAGAATTAAATAAACATACTTCTTTTAAAATAAATAAACTTTATTCAATTCATTTTCTACTTTAAAGTGCATATTTGCATAAAATTCTACAGCTACTCTGTAGGTACAGGTATTCCTCGTACAACATTGCATTCCTACAACACGATTTCTCTCTAACGGGGTTCGAGAATTGGGAAAATCCCCCGTACAAAAGTTACTATTTTTAAGTACAAGCACCGAAAAAAGAAAATAAATATGTGACACGAAACACTAAGCAAATATTAATTCTTTTTACACGTTCTTACTATTTTAAATTTCAGTGCATATCCTGTCTACTTGGACCTAGTTTATTAATTATATTATGTTATATAATTATAATAAATATAATTATATATAATTATATTTGTATTATGAATTACATTACTTATACATCACTTAATATAAAACCAAAAAATATTTTATTCTAGATCAGGGGTCGCCAAAGTGGTCGATATCGACCCCTCAGGGGTCGATATAACATTATTGGGGGTCGATTATCAAGATTAAGCTAAGGATAAAGCTTATCCGTCTCACTGATTGTTAGTTACAAAAATTATTATTAACAAATATATAATAAATGAAAAAATGTAAAATTAAAAGAAATGTATTACAAGCAAAACAAAATACTATTTTAACATAAACTTTTTGGTGGGGGTCGATGTAAGGTTTCGAAAACTTTTAGGGTTTGTCGACCCTTGTTCTAGACATATATTATATTTTAGTAATTCAAAAACACTTACTACAGCTATGAAAAATATCAATTTTTTTTAAACATTACGACAATCTACAGAATAGTTTATGTACAGCGTAGTATGTAGGCCTATAGGTGATCTAAATTCTGTATACACTCCTGAATTAAATGATGTCATTCTTTCGATCATAAACAAATATTAACAAACAAAGTCTAAGTAGATAGGATATAAATAGAAAACTAAGCAAAGACTTTGTTATTTCAGAAATTTTCCACAAAAATCACATAAAAACTAAGTAAAATAAATACAGAAAACTATTTTACTATACTGTATCTGAACTCATCATGACGACAATAGTAAAAATGAACACAACGCCTTTGTGGGTGCTGAAGCCAACAAGAATCTACGGAATCAAGGCTACTTATAAAGTTATCTATACTAATATTATAAAGAGGTAATGTTTGTAAGTAAGTTTGTATGCAGCAAGTAATCTCCGAAACTACTCATCCGATTTCAAAAATTCTTTCACCAATATTTAGAATGGACCTTCAGGGTGGACATGGGCTATACGTATATTATTCCGTTAAATATTCATATAAATTAAAAGATATCATCTAGGGTTAAGGCTTTTATGTCCAACAGATGGCGCTACGAGTACGACACCCTAAGTATGCTTTTCTGTGAAAATGAACTAAAGCGGATCATCATCTATCTATCTATATAAATAAAAATGTAATGTTCGTTTATTCCTACCGATTCCTTTGAAATTTTGACACAACGCCGCATTCGAATACGCACTTTTTTTTATATAATATATGTGTCGAAATTCCCCCCACTGGGGGAGATGGACAAGATTAAGGTTTACTGTAAAGAACTCTGCTTCTATTTATACTATTTTTAGATGCGGTTTTTTGCGTTTTTGATTGCGTTTTAATAGGGTACGTCAACAGAATGTACACTAAGAAGGGATTTTTCGAAAATTTTTCCCCCCCACGGGGAAGTGTTATACATTTATAATAGATAAATTTTGAGCCACAACAACGCGTGGCGGGGTATGCTAGTATTTTATAAATTCTAACAAAGAATAAGAAAAAATAAAATGCTTAAAATATAAACCTGAAAAATTTATTTCCGTGTGAAATTCTGACAGAATTTCACACGGAAATAAATTAATAAAGTTAAATATGTATATCGATGCAGTGTATTTACAAAACATTGCATCGATAACATTAAGATTAGGGTTTCTCATTTCCTGGTCTTTTGCTTGTCCCGGGATTCCAGATTAAGATGGTGAATTTCACATTGCAAATTGCTTTAACATTTCGTCGCATGCATCAACTCCCGTTTTAATGCCCATTAAACTAGAAAAACCAGATTGTATCGACTGTGCAATCTGAAAGTATAACGAGAAGTCATTAATTTCATTTTGTAAGTATATTTTAAAGGAGATAATAATTAAAATCGCTGTCATAATAACATATTATATTAATTGTTGATATATCCAGTCTTACCTTGGGTATACTTTTACGAGTTATTGTAAATATTCCGCCTACAGTGATTGCCGGAGGATATGTTCCTAGTCTTTTCCTATAGGAAATGATCTGTAATTGATATGTAAAAACAATTTTGCAATTATTATTTCTTACATATACGAGAAAATATAATAACTCCTACGAAAGTTTTTATATTATTATAATTTAGAATAATCGATAATTACCATTAATTGATCGTTGACATTTTTGTATTGAAAGAAAAGTAATTCGAGTTGAAAGCCAAATCGATGCATCTAAAAGACAAAGAACGAAGAAAGTTTAGTAAAATTTTAATAAATATAATTCGGAATATGTATTGGCATGTATTTCATTTAATATTTCAACACGGGTTAAAGATTAAGAAACGAAATTTGGCATGATAACTTATATTTAAGAGTTGCTTGACTTTCCCGGCTGTTATAAGATTTAAGTTAAAAAATACTCTTTATATTATTAATCATAATAAATGAAATTGTGAATGGAGCGATCTCTTATGATATTTTATTTTAAAAACATTTTATATTAATAATTATTAAAAATAGCAAAAAGCTTATATTTGAGGGTAGAGATGAGTTTTATAAAAACTTGTAAACGCTAATGGATTGAAAATTATAAAGCAAAATATTTTATGAAAGAAATAAGAAACTTACGGTTTTTGGTATCCCTGTTGTCAGAAGAGTTAAAAAAGCAAAAGCAATGATGGTTACGACTCCCGCATATACGTATGCAAGTTTTTCGATCATTATTCCTTCGCCGTACACGCCAACATAGAAAGTTTCTGCAGTAAGGGCCAACTGAAACGTGTAATAAAGTGCTATCATTGGATTAACGATTTCGTCCAAGTCGAAAAGAATGTCACAATATTGAGCATGTTTTTCAATCACAAAACGTAAATCTAACGGTTTACCATTTTCAATGGCATTTTCTATCATTTCACATAACGAAGACATGTTCTCGTATAGCGTGTGGCCTATATCTAAGATGTTGATCAGAGTTATGGTTAAGAATCCAATTCCGTAATACATGTTGAATGACGCTAGAAGTAAATACAATGCAAGAAAATGTACATTCTCTTCATTGACAATAGATCCAAACATTACCGTGTTGATTATAAATATCATGACGAAGGTGGATGTCAGCAACCAAATGTTAAATTTACTTAATTTGTAATTAAGGAATGCGGAACTTTCTTTGAAATTATCCAAGTATATTTTACACTTATCCAGAATTTGATTTGTATAGATTCTTGTATTTTCGCTCAGAACAACTTCAAATTGTAAAGAAATGGATATAGTAAAAGATAAGATTAAAAAGCAACGAAGAACAAAATCCACACCGAAAAGACGGTGGATGCCTCCTGTGAGCCGATATCGTTGTTCGTCTTGTAATAAGAGAAACAAAAGAATAATGACGTTACAAGAAGTAAATAAAGCTTTTATCAGCCATTGATATATCTTATATATAGACCTAAAGTTAACCTTTTCGTGTTTTAAAGGTACGTAAACTCCAAAAATCAAAAGAATGTTTCTATTTCCTGTTATCCTACATAATAAACAGAAACAATCGGGAGGATGATTTGCAGGATTACGAATCATTTTCGAAACTTTTCTATTTTTAAAACGTCTTTGAATATCTGCATGAAAATTATATCGTACGATATCAACGAAAATCTTATATATGTACGAGTAAACGAGAACCGAGCTTAAATACCTAATTCAGTAAGCAAATCGAAGGTTTGCTCAGGTATGTTATGCACGCTCACCTGACTAACTCATTTGGAATTTAGATATATATCAAGTGAAATCTGATAGGAGATATTTTCGAAAAATTTAAAATAATTTTTATAATTTTTACGATATTCCTCGTACATTTCAATTTAAAATTATTACAGAAACATTATTTATATATTTATATATTTTTCTTCTTTTCTGCTTGTATATTGATTCATCTATCTCTTTCTGTATACTTATATACCTTATATATTTGAACTTTTATTCTGTATAGTTTTTTATATATCAACAATATAATGAAATTTTTTACTTTCTTCCATTTAGAATCATTGCTGCGTAGGGAAACTGTACTTTGGACACGTTGTAGTGTTCGGGTTTCGAAAAACTCTACTGGTTGAATGTTTAAAAACTTATTATTATATTTCTTGCCATAGTATAAACAAAGGATTATACAGTACAAAGTCATTTTTTTGCAAGAAATAGTTCGCACTTTTCAAAATGTTGGAAAACATTTCCCGAATAGCAGACCATCTACCAGTTCAAAAAGGGGCGGTACGCAATATTACCCATAGAAAAGAGTGCACATTTTATCAGAACAATGATTAATCCATACCGAAGTGCTTAGGAAAGCCAGAATAAAAGAGGAGAGCAAAACAATTTGTAGTGGACCTTAGAATCTCATACACATACTGAAGGATTTTAAATCCAGCCGAGACCTATTTCAAGAAACAAAGATTTGTTATTAACACAAAATTTGGCCTTTATAATTTGGTATTTAATTATTAAAATACAGAGTTTTTATTTATTCGAGCTCTTCCTCTAATAAATAAAAATTCTCATCAGTTCATCAGTTATGACATGGATTTCCAGATTAGTGTTCATCGTGGCAAATTTTAGAAGAAACATTTCGGAATTTAAAGAACTCATTTCCTAATTACAGTTAAAATTTCCTATTATACAACAATCGGGTATTTTCTTAAATATGTTTTAGTAAACTCGTAAATTGTACACTCGGGTAATGGATCACTTTACACGTTCGATTAAATCTCAGTAAAATACTCGAACTGGAATGTCAGTTCTGAAGAATGCAGATTCCAGTGCCTTGGAATTTGCATTCTCCGCAATGGTTCGATATTTATGTATTTTAAATATTATTATACAACGATTTCTCTAGGACAAGCCTCTTTAATCAAACGAATATAACATAAATCAATGTCTTACATACTTATGTCAGAGATAAGAGAAATTCATAACGTAAATAACATATTATAATTCGAATGAAGTATTGTCCCTCTGTCTATTGGAATTATTGAATTCTATTGTACTGAAAGTATCAAACGTGATCATTCTGTGGAGTGAATTTATTTATAAGAATTTTCTAGAAGAATTTTCAATGTGGTTTTAATGTTTAAAACATAAGTGATCTTTCTAATACTAACTCAATATTCTAATATCATTAATTTTTCTGAAAATAAACATGTGTTTGTCTAAAAGCAATATAAAAACAATAGTCTCTGCTTCTAGTACATATAAAATTATAATTAAAATGTAATTAATTGAATTATTTAATGTATCGAGTAATGAAACCTTACTGTATTTTATTTTTGAAAGAGGAAGAAAGAGCATAATTAATGTGTTTTACTCTTTGATATAATAAAAATGTTGTTGCATTTGATTATAACGATGCTGGTATTTTTATCCTTTTGGAATGACGCAATTACTAAGGAGACATCCACTCGATGTGTATATCTTCTTATGTTGTGGAATTACCCATTGTTGTTTTTCGGGTAAGACTTTCGTCTTTATAATTATTTAATGTAAAAATCGTTGCTACTACATGTTTGCACTGACCATGGATATCTCCCTTGCACTTCACGTTGCTGTAACTATTTTTTTATCCGCTGATAACTGAATATTAATTTGTATTAAAAATAATTCGCAAAACATGTATGAAATATTTTTATTAAAGAAAAATTCAACAGTATATAACTTAATAAAAGCAGCGATATAAAATGTTGTATTGTTGTCATGCAAATCATTCTGTTTGTTTATTGCAAAGAGGTTATTCTCACATCTAAAATTATTTAAAAGTGTAAATTAGCAATATAAATGTAAAAAATGCCTTAATACAAATATAATATGATTTCTAATTAATTTTCATTTGGAGTAGACAAGTGGCTGTAACTGTATTTACTCCATCGTTTTTAATTTCTTTAATTGCAGCTATATGCTTAGCTTTTTCATCAGCAGTATGCAATACAATAATAGCCACGCGGCATAGCAACTTTAGCATAATTTATTATGAATATAATAATTAATCTCGATTTCACATTAATTTCTTCCAGTTTAAATCTGTAACGGCACCACTGTCCAAATTCTGCTGTTTTTAACATCAAATTCGGTGTCTTTCATTAAAAAATTAGAAATTCTGTCGTAAGAAATAATGGAAAGCAACCCTTTTTACTCAAATTTGCGTATTGTTCTCAGAAATTCATTAGATTGGAATGGAAACCCATAGCTTTATTTGAGCGTTATATACGTGAATAACAAAAAAATAAAATGTATGCTTAACACTTTATTTAACATCATTATTTTTCGTACGAACATTTAATTACTATATTTAACATAATATATTTTATGATTTGATTCCTTTATCTTGATTTTAATTACAATACATCCAATTTGAAATTTCGTTTAGGTGAATTTACGCATTTGTCAATAATTGCGTGGATACCGTTTGAATTTCTTTCCACGAAAATATAACGTCGTCTTCGTTGGTTTGTCTGGAACATATAGCAAAGCGCAAAATATATTTTCCATTAATTTTTGTCGGAGTCAAATGGATAATTCTTCTCTCGTTAATAGTTTTTAAAAGATTTTCATTTATAGAATTTGAACCCTGAAAAAAATATTATTTCTTAATTATTAGAGTAAGATATTTCAATAATGTAATGTATAATTAGTTTTATTTGAACCTTTAAACGAAAACACACTAAACCCATCACTACTGGAGTTGAAATTTCAAATCTTCCATCCCTCAACAGTAATTCCTCGAATTTATGTGCCAATCGGACATGCTGAAAATTATAATACTAAATTAGTATCCAAATGAATTCAATCTCTTGATGATCTGACAATTTTTATGCGTTTTACATTTAATTACAATAGAGACAGGACAGATACGTCAAGTATTGTAAATCGAAATACTTACTTTTCTTATGAATTCCTGAAGACCTTTTATGCCGTAAGTTCTGAATACAAACCACATTTTTAAAGATCTAAATCGCCTTCCTAGATGTATGTGCCAATGCTAAAATAAATAATAAAGATATAAAAATTTTGAGCATATGTTTTTATAATAAAGAATCCGTAAATCATCTAGAATACCCTGAAATCCGGAATTGCACCTTCATCCTTATGTTGTAAATACGTTGGATTAACATTAAAAGCATCTGTTAATTCGTGTTTATTTTTCACCCTGATAATAGTATAAATTTTTAAAAATTATAATTAATAATAATATTATTATTATTAATAATTATACAAGACTCACCACATAGCGGAACAATCAAAATTGACTAATAACCACTTGTGAGGATTCATATTAAAAGAATTTGCAAACTGTATACGAAAGTGAATATTTTGTTATTTTTTAAAGATTTTTACAATTTCACAAAGTGTAAAAATTCCATTACCTCAATGCCTTGTAAATAATGTTGAAATTCGGAACATATAAATGCCGCTCCCGCATACGCCGCATCTACATGCAGCCAAACATTTTCTTCTTTACCTTTAAAATTAATATTATAGAATAATTCCAATGTTTAACGAATTATATTATAAAATTCATTACAATTCATCACATTCTTAATTTAGTCTTTTGCTTAATAAGACAAAATAAATGATTGACATCATTTTTTCAAACATGTAATTAATGTAACTGTCCAATACGAATGATTTTTAATTCATTATACTTTAAACATATAATAAACTATTTTAAATACTTACACACTTTACCAATCTCTAACAGATTATCGAAAGCGCAAGAATTTGTTGTTCCAAGAGTAGCGACAACCTGAAGTATAAAGATTGTAATATTCAAGGGTCATAATTCAAACCTTTGTCATATTTTGATAAAACTAAAAATTCAACTCGCATAAAATGGATATTTGTTTTTGCGTCGATCTTCCATAATGGCTTTTTTTAAAACATCTCCTCTTAGACTTAAATTTTCATCAGTTTCCAATGATCTCATTTCCACGTCAGCTAACAATCCCGCTCTTTCAACCGACGAATGACTCTATCGTAAAAATTAACATAAAATTTTGAAAATGTCTTTAAAGATTCAAACCATTAATAAATTCTTACCTGATTCGAACAATAAGCAACCAAATTTCCAATACTTTTTAAATCTTTATTCTTCTTCTTCGAGATACCCATGGCTTTTGTTCTGGCAGCTAACAAAGCTACTAAAGTCGATTCGCTGGCAGTCATCTATAAAGATTCTCCGGTAATCTTTTATTATTTTCCGAATGATAGAATAAATTGTATAATTCCTACCTGAATCACTCCTCCGCCTATACTGTCCGAACCGTAAAGGAATTCTTTTGGTAAATTTAACATTTTACCCAGCCAATTCATCATAACCATTTCTAACTCGGTTGCAGCCGGACAAGATGCCTAAATATATTATAAATGTAATTACAAAGATAATGTAGTTAAATCGTTTCACGATAGCTTAATTCTTGGATAGATTACCCAAGTAAATCCGATAATGCCGAGACATCCTGACAAAATATCAGCGCAGATAGCTGGATACGAATTAGCTGTAGGAAAATAGGCGTGAAATCGAGGAGAATGCCAATGTGTCATCTGAAAATACACATTTCTTTCTAATCAAAATAACTGTTTTTATATTTTTAAAAAATGTAATTTATTCGTCATTTAAAATGATGCTTTAAAAATTCATCTAATTAGATTCGGTATGAGATTAATGCTTCAGTCATCCGCAAAAACGTAGTTTGATATCGATTACCGAAAGCGGAGATGATCAATCACAAACTTAATGTGACGTCTTGGTGGTATCTCGCTCACCTCTTGGATAAAACTGATAAATGTGATTTTTATTCTAATAGCCAAGAAACTGCCATTCTTTAGTTCTAAACAATAAATAATATAACGTGGGGCGATAAAATAAATCAAGTAAATACAATTGTTTGGTTTACTTCGATTGTTAGGCACACAAAAACTATGTAAACATACCGGTACATTTAAACAATAGAGAAATTTATTAACGATACAAAACACCTCCTCTAAGAGTAAAATAGAGTAAACTTTAGCGCTAAACTTTAAACTTTGTCTAGATTACGTATAATTTCAGTTCAGCGTAGGTTTAGTTGCTTGGTAGATCTTTATTGCGTGAAATATCAAGATACGAGCATAAAGCAAAAAACAGAAATCTTTTAGTAAGAGTATTTACAAAAAGTACAAAAGATACTCTGATCAGTTATCGAACTACGCTAGAGAATACACTTACCCCCGACATGACAACTCTTTCAATATCTTCGAAAATCTTCTGCCAACTTTCTCCTTCTTCGGGTGCACATCCTGGCACTAAATCCCATATGTAGCCGGGTCGTACATCAGATAAGACGGGTCTTTCTCGAATTCTTTTATGATAATCGATCGTAAAATCGATTAATCGGTGAGCAAATCTACGAAATTCTTCGTCGTCCATTTTTAAATATGCTAAAAATAGAAATATATATATATAATAAAAAAGGTAAACAATTAAAGAAGCTGAACTATATTATAAAAGCTCTTACAGAATATTTAATCCTGTTATTAACAATAATGTAAGTACTACAGACACTTTAGAAAATTTCCTTGGAGACGGATAAAACAGCATTTAATCAATCACGTTATTCGCTAAGATTCTGTTTATTTCTTCAGAGTATTTTTTCTTTATTTTTTCCCCTCTGTATATTTGTATATCCTTTATATGTATAGGCTACATAAATATACAGAGCCTCCATCCATTGCTTTGTAGAAATAATAAAACCACATATCGTCTGAAAGTTTTATAAAATTTTGGTCTGCATTTTTTTATCATATTTTAATTTAAAATATGAATATCTATACCCGATTACCTATAGATATAGACAATTGGGGCCTCTGGTTCTAAGCTTTTCATATCTGGTATTGGCTTTCATTTATCTAACTCCGTTCTCGAGAATATGGAAGAACGGTCGGACATACAGACAAACGAACGATAGTGGGAATCTATAAGTCCGCAATTTGAAAACTGCGGCCCAATAATCTGTATTTAAATTTGAAAATGCCATACATTTGAATTAAGAGTTTTATTTGCATATTTATGTATTTTATACAAGAAAAATTGATAAATTAATTCAATTTTCCTCTGTATTTTTATGCGTATATTTTTACACATTCGTTCATAAGTATTTAAAATTCTTAATAAGTTTTTTTATCCTAAAGTTTAGTAAGATTATATAAAACTTCAATTAATAATCTGTCTTTTGTCAGAATTAATATTTTATTTTATAAGATAAATTTATTTTAAAATACCTAATAAAATATAATATATCTGTATTAATATAATTTATATAACACAGACTCTTGACTTAATAACTGTAATATTAAGCCAATTTATTAGGACTGTATCAATTATCTGTTAATTGATAAAAGAATACAATAGACTACATTTTGTTTGTAGAATTTTAGAAAACATTTACAGTGATATGATAAAAAGACATCTTAATGTAAAGACAATGTATATATTGAGAAATAAAGAAAGATATATATATCTTTATTTAAAATGCCTTTTTATCATATCAGTTATTCGAGGAATCTCTTTTGTTGAATTTGTCTTAAAATATCTTTAAAATAACTTTAATACAGTATAACCTCCGAATAGCGGACAACAGGTTTGTCCGCTATTCAGAGGTACTGTACATGCCGGCGGCTATACCGTATCTTAACCCAGCTGGTCATCATATAGTGAAGATTACGAAAACATCAAATTTGCATTAGGAATGTGAATATACCAAAAAGTATACATAGCATATTTTCGGAATTTTTACATTTATGACGTCATTTATGATCTTAAGTTTCTTTTTATTACTGCTATACTACGGTTCTTGTCGAATAAATGAATAACTTCGAAAAAGTTTATACTTTTTTCTATCATAGACTTAATTCCAACAATAAGACAGATGTTTAATAATATTACTATATATAACGATAAATACATTGTTTGTCATTAAATGTCATTATAAAATAGAGTAATGTTTAACCTTTATGGTGAGCGCGTGTAACTATTGTATAAACTAACAGAAAGTGTAACGTATTGACAGTAGGCTCTGATGGAGAGTTCACCCACCAACTAACCCATATCTATAAGGGTGAGACGGTGATTTAGCAGAAAATTATAGTTTTTTTTTCAGAAAACACCATTATTTTGCTCGTTGTTGTTTTGTCTGGTACGATAAGAAAACACTAATTCACTCAGATTTTTAAAATTAAATTTTGTTTTTACACTCACAGCTTCCAGAACTTTTATTCGTCGTCTAACCCTGGAATACCTCGTACAATTTTCAGTAACGCACCAACGACTTGCGGGGTTACAACGTTACATAAAAGATGCCTTTATAAGTATAAATATTGAAGATCAGCCTATTTTATATAAATAATATACAAAATAATACTAAAAAAGCAGAAAAACTCACGCGTATTTAAACAAGTTTTTAAAATTTTTACCCACACTTGGAAGTTTGTAACACAACTAAATACAAACATTTACTTTCCTACTACAGTAAGCATTTTAGAGTAATTTTTTTCTTCGTATTAAATATAATATTATTAATTAAATTTATTATGCGTGTCTCTGCAAATAATCTTTAGATTTAATGGTCTTAAATGGTTTTTCCTTGGTCAGTATTTAAGTAGATTTACGAGCTGCGAATCACGTTATTTTATCTTTATCTTTATGCTTAAGATATAAAGATAAATGAAGGTAAATTAACGGAAAAAGGCACTTTTTCTCTTCGACCAGCGTGTTCTCTTCCTATTCGGGTTATACTAAATTACCATATCATTGAAGAGATTACTAATACTTAAATCTAATAGATTATCTTGAATTTATCGATAAAATTCAGATAATTAATTAGAAAAAGAAGAATTTACTAATATTTTACTGAAAAACTCATTTAAAATATACCCGTTTCGGAATGTAATTCTAATAAATATGTCTAGCGCGGATATTTTATAAACTATTTTTTAAATAATATTTTATATAATTATTGCGGAATGCAGAAACTTACCGGATAATGTTCCTTAATGTCAACAGTTGCTGTGTGTTAGATGCCGGGTTTAGTGACGTCACATAAACGCAGACTCTGTCGCTTTTTGATAAAATATAATCAGCGGGAGGCGGAATTATTCTGTCATTTACGAGATTATTACATCGTTTTCAACTTAGGGGCTCCTCTAGTAGTAAAAAAATTAACTAAAAAACTTAACTTTACTTTATTACGGTATAAAAGTTTTCTAAATTTTATTTTATAAAATTAATAATAAATTAAAATATTTATTTAATATTTTAAAATAAAAAAAAAGTAAATTTTATATTTTTCAAAAGTTTTAAGAACTGCACCATAACACGTCTGGCAACACTAAAAGATACGCGCGTTGATTGGATATTAATTAAATAAATAAATATGTCTTTAATAAAACTTTTCTTTTTACTTTTTAAAAATCTCTATTCACTTTTTTCTTTCTTGGACGGGAAGTAAGAGATCTCGAGTTAATGGTACCAATTTCCGTTATAACGAGTTACTATGACAACGGTCGCTTAGCAACAGTTGGCAGAAAAGCGAAGATCGATTACGTCGAAAGGAAGGATTAGACATCTATGTCATTATCTCGCGCGGATATCTGAATGCTCATTGGACAGTTATCCTTTTGACTCGCCGTTAATAATGGATATAAGCTACAGTGATTTTCTAAAGAATATTCATCAACTTATAAAATCGATAAAGAAACTTTTTTAAACTATTAATTACTAACTAAATATTAATCTAATTAAGGCGAACAGTTACTCTACTGTTTATCCTTTTACTGTCGGGTAACACTAATTATATATTAAAAAATAGCATCAAATCGGTAGAATTTAAGATATAATAATAGTTTAAAATCGATCGTTTCCATTACTAGTTTCTGTGGGTTTTTTAAGCATAAAATTGAAGTAGATAAGTAAAATAAGAAGGTTTTCGATCCTCCAGTTAACAACAAATACAGTAGAACCTCGATTATCCGGACTAATTGGGGATGGAGGTAGTCCGGATAATGGAGGTTCTACTGTAAACAGTTTTGAACTGCGTTGCCGACGTTCGCAATATACAAAAGATAGGACAAAGGAAGATTATATATAAAATTATTATTGTTTTCTATAATTATATAATTTATTTAATTCACATTTAAAGGGGATCTTGCTGGTGTCACCGTTGGCGTAATCGGCTATTAACTGAAAGGTTGGTTCGGAAGATTGTTCGTCCGACCCGAGGGCAAAATTTTTTCTTGATTTTTATTAGTTCTAGCCTTTTATTTTGACTTTTTATATCACAATTGTCCTTGTGAATGTTGCCGGATTTTTATAACTTTTTGTTTTAGTGTTTCTACTGCTCCATTGTCGATATATTTTACCAACTGAACTAAGATGACTTTTAGTCCAAAACTCCATTCTGCTCCGAAACATGATTCCGGTTATTTTAACTCTAATTTTAATTAGGTGAGTGGAACTTTTTTCCTGTCGCAATGGATTTTTTCGTGTCCCCTACATCTGTAAGAGATGACCATACATTGGTCTTCTCTACGATTGACGACGAATTCCAACCAGAGACCGTTAAAAATGGCGCCCGCCATGTTCATCCGTTCGAAATGAAAGAGAAAACAGTCGCCTCGTCTCTTCTGCTAGACTCGGACTTTTTACCGGCCATGTTAACGGTCATCAAATTGCCTCCGATTCCACAGGCGTGGTACCCGAAAAGAACTGCCGCCATAAGACCACAGATCTCGCCTCAGCCCCTACACGTCATAGTACAAGAAACAAGTTGCACCACGTCTAGCTCGGCAAAGGGAAATGGAAATAAAAGTACATGCACGAATTCTCTTCCTTCCTTACCTAACGAGAAGGCCGAAGAAATCTACACATCCTAACAATAAGGTCGACGACTCTATCACCCCAGGGGCTCATAAAACGAACTCTGCCCTGCTCCGCCTAATGGCACTACAGGGTTAAAGAGACTATGTCTTAATCGTCAGCTAGTCGGATACCTGACAGGTAGACAGGGACTTCTATAGCTGGGCCACCGAATACATCTTTCGGGCTCCCATCCGTCTTCTTGGCCCAGCCCTCTAAGCTGGCGTAAGTTTTATGTTGTGCAGACTGTACTGCACTTTATCCACAAAACTATTAGCTCACATTACTCAACTTTAATGATAATAACGGGCAGCGAGATCCCCTTCCCTACAAGAAGAGGAGACCCAGCCTAGCACGTCCACTAGGCTTATAGATCAGAGAGATCTGTAACTTTTTCCATCAATTCCTTTAGTTTCTTTAAGTTTCCTTTACTAGCTGTTAGTGTTTGAAGTACTTGTTCAGGGGGCTTGCTCCAATCAACTTGGTCTGCCCCTAGGCGGAAGTCCTCTGTAAGAGGACAGTAAAGTACATAGTGTCTCACGTCGCCTCGAGGACACCCACAGGAGCAGCTACCATCCATCTCCTTGTCCAAATTTGGACTCGAAATGGGGGAACCTACCGTGTCCAGTCAGTATTTGCGTCGTCAATCAGCAACAACTTACCAGAGTGAGGCCAACTTCAGGCACGAAGGCCTACCTACTGTACTTTGAGTCTGGCGCTCTCGCCAATGTGTCACTGATCTTTGCAGTACAGTACCTTTAATGTATGTAGTCGAGGGTTTCACCGTCCTCGTTACAAATGGGCCTTTGGCTCCCGCCTTTGCCAGCTGATCGGCACGTTCGTTGCCCAGGATCCTGATGTGGCCGCGGACCCACCGCAGAGCAACGTGTCGCTCGTGCTTCGCCCTCAGTATCCTACCTCTGATCTCCTATACCAGTGGATCGCGATGGTACCCGTCGCTCAAGGCCTGAAGCGATGACTGGCTATCTGAGTATACCGTTACCCAGATGTGATAAGATTCACTGGGACGACCCCTCCAGGGCCACCAGTTCCGCCTGGAACACATTCAATCTGAATAATCGACAGTACACTTCTACTCCATCAGAGAAAATGTAGTACACAGCATCTACTAGGCTGCCGTCTTTTGAGCCATTGGTGTATAGTTCAACACCGGTACCTGTCGATTTACCGACATCCCAGTCAAGTCCTATCCTGTGGGCTGGATGGAGCTTTAGCACGTCTGTCTGACCGGATACATCTGATTACAATGCTTCCACTGTCATCCTGTAGAAGGCTGCCTCTTGGCTGACTACCAGAGGCAATGGGAGCAGCCCGGCCAGAACCAGGGCCACCTCTGTAGACACAGTTCTGTACGCTCTCGTGATCCGCAGGCAGCGGGTCTCTGGATCGTGAGCAGCGTCCTGCTCTGATTGACGTTGGCAGAGTCTTTCCACCATACACCACAGGCATAGCAGATACGCGTTGCGTTCTACACTCATCTTGTAGATGAATCGAATCCCTTTTTTGCTAAGACTATAGTCCTGTCTAGCTAGCCTCGATAGTGCCGCTATCGTGAGGTTTGTTCTGTCCCGAACACTCCTCAGATGGGGCGTCCAGCGTAGTGTCTGGTTGATGATAACACCGAGGTACTTTAACTCATTCATCCGAAAGATGAATGAGTTAAATTAATCCGGAGGATGAACGATAAAATCCGGAGGATGAACGAGGTACTTTGACGCATTCATCCGAAAGTACCTCGTTCAAGTACCTCATTCATCCTCCGGATTTTCGAGGTACTTTAATTTAACTCATTCATCCGAAGAATGAATGAGTTAAAGTACCTCGGTGTTATCATCGACCAGACACTACGCTGGACGCCCCATCTGAGGAGTGTTCGGGACAGAACAAACCTCACGATAGCCCCAAGGAAACTTGCCGCTATCGTAAGGTTTTAAGGAAACTTTAAGGAAACTAAGGTATAAAGTACCTTAGTTTCCTTAGTGACCGCGTCCTTAGTGACTAAGTTACTTTAACTCATTCATCCTTCGGATGAATGAGTTAAAGTAACTTAGTTTCCTTAAAGTTTCCTTAGGTTACCGATGGTACTTTAACTCATTCATACGAAGGATGAATGAGTTAAAGTACCTCGGTGATATCATCGTACAGATCTCGGTGATATCTCGGTAAAGATGAATATACTGGATCCGGGGGTTGCCCCGGATCCAGTATATTGGTTGGAGTGCCAACACTCCAGTCTGGGCCACCGTCAAGGCCTCTGATTTCTCAGGGCTGAAGGAGAGCTTATGCAGCTATCCCCCCCAGTGAACGAGCCGTTCTATTGCTTCGTTGCCGCGACTCTCCATGTCGCAATTGCTATAGCTTGCAACTACTAGCAACAGATCGTCTGCATAAGCCTGTAGCTGGACTTCGTCCGGGAAGACTAGTTGCAGCACCTTGTCGGCTAGAACGTTCCACAATAGGGGCCCTATACAGGACCGTTGTGGGCAGCCCCGTTCCAGTATCCTCTCATACCTTCTGCTTCGCGTTTCGTAAACTATCGCGCGGTCACTCAGGAAACTGCTGGAAAGTGATACAAGAGTGGTCGGCAGGTTCGCCGTCCTCAGTTCACCCATTATGGATGGCCATCACACATTGTAGAAAGACCCCACTACGTCTATCGAAATGAGCGACGCGTGGAGGCCCTGCCGGCGGTTCTGGCGAACCAGATCAACCGCCCGATGTAATGCCATGCAGGTCGACTTGTCCGGCCGGAATCCACATTGCTGTGGGTGTAACAGCCCTTTCCGCTTAAAGTGATATAATATCCTGTCACTGATGATTCTGTCTAGAACCTTCCCCAGCACTGGCAGTAGGCTGATTGGTCTATAGGACTTTGGTCCGTTCTTCCGGCGCCTACTCTTATGAATTAACACAAGACGCGCCTGCTTCCACTGCACTGGAAAGTCACCCAGGAGAAGACACTCCTGATACAAGACACGGAGCAAGTTAGGACGTTCCTGTTGCAGAACTTGTATCATTTAGGCCGTGATCCCATCAACGCCAGGTGCTTTCCCTTTCCTTAGGTTGCCGATGGTATGGGCTACCTCAGAGTCAGTCACCAACACGGGCATCTCAGCCTCAAGCACAGGCAACTCCGCGTCACTTCGAAACTGCCTCTGTTCTTTACTGTCATCGGACCTCTCGTTGCAATCGCCCCAGG